CCAGCTTCCTGTTAATTTCATCAATGAGTATTATGTTATGTTGATTTGCCCATTTGAAATTAAACCATACATTCTTTTTTAAAGGAAATGTCAGATGCTAACTAATTATGATTACCATAAATCATAACAAAGTTAAACTTCTGAGTGGAACTCAGTTACTCCATTATATGCCATAAGCCTCATTCCAAAGATCTCATTTTATAGACTCTACTTGTAATACTGAACTGTGTATGAACACATTTGCTGATTTGAAGATAATAGGTCAACATTTTTACCTTCGTCTCTGTTTTCTTGTTTTCTTCTTTTTTTCTGCGTATGCTCAGCCTACAGAAAAGGTAGTGTTGTTATATCAGCATCTCTACAGGAGCATGTAAGAAAACAATCAGAAACCACAGGCTAGCAAATGTCCTAACACACACAGTAAACACTTAGGTAAAAGTCTTTTCTTTAATAATAATCATATTTCAATTTTGCAGTAGAGGTTAATAATTGGAGATCTTTTCTTCGTTATTTAAAACTTATAAAAAGGAAACTGGGGATCTTCCAATGCAAATGTAATTCTTACCACGTTTTGTTCTTAGGACAAATACTTAAGAGAGATTACGGGTATCTTGAGGGGGGAAAAAAAACAGCATTGCAAACCACACCATGTTAATGTCTGTTAACATTTCATTTGGTTTGGGCTTAGTTACCTGTACACATCATTTTATAGATCAGTTTCTTGATAATCCATTATCTTAACTCCTCTTATTCAGCAAAATTTAGAACATTGAAAAGCATGTGTTGCATTTATCTAGATAAGTGAATTTTACAGTGCCTACCTTGCTGTGCTGGGTCTTAGTATAGTGATAAAAGAACATATTGAACTCTTTCAGGCATTCATCTTTCAGTTCATAAACTCCATGGCCAGATACACCTGGTTTCCTTAAAAAGAAATTTTTCATATAGATTACTAATGCACCTTCAACACATCTTTCAATGCGTACAAATCAATAATACAATTTGTTTTCTGAGGAAATGCTAATAACAAAATGCAATTGCAATTGTTGCTTCATCAACTTATGAAGACAGGAGGGTAGCTGCAGTTATCTGTCTTTAATTTTTGATACTATGATAAATTATAACCAATACAGAAATACTTCTAGTTACAACACACCCTGAGGTCATCAAGATTTTAACGTTATAGATTAGAATATCACACATTTGGACCTTACTGTATGAAACCAAGCAGTTCCTTTAACCAAGGTCAAAACTTAAGTAACACAGAGCTACTTTCCATGTGCATCAGCAAAAAGAACATTTTCTGAACCTCCCACATCATTTGCAAGGTAAAATTACTAGGCACATCATAGCTGCCATTGATTCAAAATAAACAAGCCTGCCACATGATATTTAAAGCAAGGTATAACACAAAAATTAAAATTCGAAGACATTTTTGTGACAAAAGCATAACAGAAATTTGAGTCAGATTTCTTCAATTGATACAGCTCCTGCCTTTCCTACATGGGCAGATATTAACCCTATTTGAAAGCTTCGGCTCATTAGTAACTGAGTAAAATCTAAACCAATAATTGAGTGTGAATGCTAAAGGCAAAATGAGTTGTTAACAAAGTCCTGAGACTCCTCAAAATTATTTAAGAATGAGGCAGAAAAGAACAACATTCAAAAGGTCCATACAGTTCACCTTCATAGGCATCTTTGAACGTGCATATATTTCAAGACAACAAAATATCAGCCAAACGAAGACCGTGCACTCACCGCCCAGGTGGGCTGTATAAGCTAAGAGCTCTTAGTTCACTTCTATGATCATTGAAAAGAAGTCTTAAGAACTTACTTAAATGTAGCAACTTTATCAATCACACTCTCCAAGCCGGTTTCATTGTTCTCCTGTTCAAAAACAAAAAGTTGTTTAGGATAGATACATTATGATTCTAATATCTTCAGGATTAAGTGATTAAAGCTAAAGGATCATTTTGTTGACGACACACAAGACAAAATGGCTCCATGGTCCTACAGGGTCAAAAGAGAAAATGATTTTAAAAGCATTTTTTCTTTACAACTAGAAATATGCCTCTGAGTACATTAAAAGATTCCACCCCTTCATCCCAAAGCACAGTCCCCATATCACCACCCTGTCCAGATTAGACCATACTTGAACTCACGGCATTTATCACATTTCTCATGTTATACTGCAATTCTGAACACAACATATACAGCTTAAAAAAAAAAATCCATATAAGCATACGGAATCCAAAGATGAAAGTTTTCAAAAAGGAACAATCAGATCAGGACTCACATTTTCAGGCAAGGACTTGGTAATTGCACTGTGAGCCATTGGTTCAATACACAGCAGATGGATGATTTCTCTCATGATAACATCTTCCTTCGTTACATTACTCACTCCAGGCACATATCTTTCCCCTGCCAGGGTGCATCAAAAGAAAGAGAATCCAAAGATGAAAGTTTTCAAAAAGGAACAATCAGATCAGGACTCACATTTTCAGGCAAGGACTTGGTAATTGCACTGTGAGCCATTGGTTCAATACACAGCAGATGGATGATTTCTCTCATGATAACATCTTCCTTCGTTACATTACTCACTCCAGGCACATATCTTTCCCCTGCCAGGGTGCATCAAAAGAAAGAAAACAGCAAACATTATAGTTAGAAAACTATTTTGAATTTTGCTCAGCAAAAATGCTGCTGCTGAACAGTTCATGATAGAAGTCTGCATTCCTCAAAAAATTATCCCAAGCACCTCAGAGAATTCAGGAAAAAGGGCTTTTAGAGCTTAAGTTCATAACAAGGGCTCAGTTGGAGCTTATTCTTCATATTCTACCTTGATAGTCAACTACAAAGTTATCAAAAACTATTGCTCCCAGTTGACAATTACTTGTGTTATTGAATCCCTTATTTAAAATAGGAATTTTACAGTACCCTCTCTGTAACATCTACATTAACAAACAAAAAAACAAGGAGTCATTCTGCCTGTTTTTTTTTTTTCCTCCAAATTGCAATTGTGCATTAATTTCTAGGACAATAGTAGACAGAAGAAAACCTTGATTACAAGCCATTAAAAACAAAAGAAATCCTCAAAACATTGTTAATGTCATATTCATGATAAACAGTCTCTTACCCACAACACAGATGAGAATCTGTAACATCTCTTCTATCAATACATTGTATTGCTTGATCAAATCCTACAAAAGTTAGAAAAAGCGATTAAAAAAAAAAAACACAACAGTAAAAGCTGTCAAATGACACTGAGGTCAACCTTCAAAAGAATTTTTTCCACCCTCAAACAGCATGTTGTAAGCACCATCCACCACTCTAAAGAGCTGGAAAAAGTGTCCCCACTTATAAAGCGGGTATTATTCTGCAAACAAAGTGCAAAATTTATATGCAGAAAAGGAAATAACCAATAAAAACATATCCCAAAAGAAGGATTATGTGAGAACTGAAATCAAGATAGATAACAGATGCTGTAAAGACATTTATAGATAATATACAGCCATAATACGTCTTGAAAGATGGAAATATCTTTTCTACAACGTTTCTCTTTCTTTGTTAATAATTTTCTATGTCATTGCCCAAACTAATCTGTTTATACCTAAATATATGTTCATCTTTTGAATGTGTAAGGTACGGAACAGCGAAAAGCAGAATTAAAGAAATATATGTGGAGAAGGAATAAACTAGACAGGATGGATACTCTTGTAGTCTGTATGTGTAATCTTATGTCATGCTAGTACTACAATTGTTTGAACAGCCTGGTAATGGCAAAGCCCTTCGAACAAAACGCGTCAAGGAGGACAAAGCCAGTTTGTTAATTTTGAATAAAAAGCCTCTGGATTCAATGGGGAATCTATTAGTTAGCTAACTCCTTGCTCCTATGTTGACTGTGTTTTAGCGTGGTCATAAAAATGAGTGATCAATAGCTTTCAGTTTTTCCCTCAACGTTCCATAAACTCAAAAGCAGACAAGAGCATCGGCAGGAAGACTTGCCACTCACCTGATCTTTGGTCGGCTTCATCTTCTTGAAAGCATCAACAAGCTCATATCTCTGCAGCATCAGCAAGAGGAAATGATTTGGATCCATAAGAGAAGCACCAATCTGCCAAAAACCCATGTGTTATGAAAGTCAGTTACATCAGAATTAGTTATTAAGAAAAATATTTTATTAGTCATAGGACATTTCAAAATGATTCAAAACTAACAAAAACTAAAGCAAATCCATTAAAATGTCAAGTGAAATGAGCAATGACAAATCACCAATACCTGAAGCATGATGATATCTTTATCATACATTTCTTCTCTGCATTTAACATCTTGGTAATAGAATACCTGAGAAGCAGGAAAACAACATTTAAGCAGAGAAGTAACATAAAATGCTGAAGTAAAAGCTATCAAATCTGTGGCAAACTTTTTATTTATTTATTTATTTTAAATGTATAGCACTTTTGTTTAGGCAAGGGAAAGTTTTGTGCTTCTTTCAAAACAAATATGTATATTGACAACAGTCAATTTTTTTTTCTACTAATCCAGAGAAAATCTACACCGTACTAACCTTCTCATCTTCTTCCAAGATAACATATTTCAAGCGGCTGCTAAGCCCTTCTTGAAAAAGTCAACCACCTTCTCCCACCCCACACCTGAAACAGTTCTGCAAGGGGCTAACAACACTTCCTTTGGTTTTACCAAAGGGCTTTGTGAAAGGTAGATACAGGAAATTTCTGCTTTTGAGGATAAAAAACAGTGAATCCAAAGCAGGTAAAATACAAGAATCTAAGGTAGAATTTTACTGATTCTATTGTACTAAAAAGATAGCCAACAACAAAATAATATTTGCTATTTCCACTTACAAAGTGCTCCAAAGTTAGTCTGATTTGAGATGTAAATAGTTTAACTTTTCCATATGATTGCCATACACTAAGAAATAACACTAACATTTTATGTTAGAGGAACAGCAGTTACAGTCATGCCTTTAACAGACCTGACAGTCGTATGTAAGAGATGTCAGTAACATTAATACTATTTCAGAGAAGGCAGAGAGAGCCCTAAAAAAGACGAAAAATATTGGTCTGATATGGCCATGAAAGCCATTGATAAAGCTGAAAATACAGCCGAGGTATCCAAATTCCCATGTGGAAACCTATCAACTAGGGGAATTTTTGTAGGAGTAACCCACATGAGCTGCTTTTGCACTGGACTGAACAGTCCCTGAGAACACAACTGCCATAAACTACCAACAGGGTCAGTGCTGCACACTACAATGGAGTGTACCTGGCTTATGAGGGAGAGCCCATTTCTCCTCCACATCTCTGCCGCCACCTGTGCTACTAGGACAAGGCATCGCAAAGGGTATTCTACTAGCAGGTCCACTTGGAATTCTTCCTGAAATAAAAACAATAAGCAAGCAGCTTAACATGAGTGTTTTTTAAAAAAAAAAAAAAAAAACACTTACAAGAGATGCATTTTTTGTGATTTATACCCTGTGAAGGAGAAAAAACACTCAAAAGTATTTGAAAAAACAAACACACTATAGAACTCACAGGGGAAACAAATTCATGCAATCTTGAGATGGTTCCAGTCTTGCTTAATCGTACATGAAGACCTAAAAAATAAATAGGAAAAAGTGTGAGAACAATCGAAAAATATCAGTCAAATCTGTCTTCCAAACAATTTTAAGTGTTAGCTAAATCACCTTCAACTCTGAAAACTGAAAGCTACAAACACCGAATCAAACTTCATTTAGGAAGGGCTTGTTGCTTCTTAAGATAAGTGATCCGTAACATTAAAAACTGGAAAGAATGGTTATGCTAATCTACTATTTTAAGAATAAATCTATTCACTTAACATATTCATTTAAAGCATTTAAATGGAGGTGGTAAACAGAAGTTACAAGCTCCTAATTTCTTATTTAAAAGAAACTATACAAGAATCTTAAAACCGCAAGACTTAGCCAATAGTCTATCTTGGTAGTGAATGATGTGCCAAATAAATTATAGCTTAAGAGCTTTCATCTGTACTCTAGAGAGGGTGGCCATCACCTATTGCTGTGGTTCTTTGTATTTCAGTTAGTTTAAGCGCTTTGCAGAATTAGGAAATAGAAATGGATGACATAGCCTAATTCAAACAGCAGTTAAAACTAATAAAAGCATCTACCTGCAAGAGTCCTAGACAGTGGTAAATGTATGCTGACAGGATCTGTAGACACTCTGTAAGGTCTACTCTCCAAAGTATGGCCACACATGTGAAACACTGTCTTCTCCCGTGAGCGGCCGTTTGTACTGCACCTCATCACAGCTTTGTGACATTCTTTATAGGCTCTCAGCAATAATTCCTCCTAGAATTGTAAATAAACACATACAGATATAGTTAAAGGTAATACTGATGCAATAAAATTCCTCATCGGCTTTTTTTTTTTTTTTTTTTTTTTTT